CCAGGGAAATTTCTCTTTCTATACATTGGGTTTGACTAATTCTAGGCTTAGTCTACTCTTCATTGGTGTTTGATGCTCACAATCTGTTCCCCATCCTTCCCATCAAATTTGCCACCTCTCTCATTCTCTCACTGTTCATTTCCAACAGCCACTGGATGAGTTTCTTCAAGTGGGCACATAGACTACTCTTTACACCTTCATCACACATTATCTTCACCATCTGGTTGTCTCATTTCCCAAATGTTACTCCATGCCTCTGCCATTCTATAGTCTACCCACTGTAACTAAACTGGTGAATACTATTCTTTTTTTTTTACATCATTTGCTTATTGGATTCTTCCAGGTGGCTGGTAATGCCTCCCATGGTGTATTTATTTCCAAAAATTATGCTTTGAGATGGGGTGTTCCAGCAAGACCACTTGAGGTATCCTCATGGTATATTTATCTGACGACTTTCTAATACAGCCAGTACATTATTCCATGGACTATCATGGGAAAAAAAAACAATACTAGGGAGTGCTCTGTCTGCTTCTCTGGCTTGAGCTTAGTTGCTTTTCAAAATAGGAATATGCAGTCACCCATTGTACTGTCTACAGTAAAAGACCTTTGTTGCTAAGGGCTAGTGGTGATCCAGGTGTTTTCTCCATGTCTCCCCACCATGAATTCATCCCCCTTTTCTCTTTGAGTGAAGCACAGTAGACTTGTCACTTACTAGTTCCTAGCCACTGGGATGGTGGAACATGAAGAATCATCATCGACTAGGACCTGACTGCTTGGATTAAAACAACGGTGCCAAGCGACGGGAAGTGGGACAGTGGTGACACTGTTATAATAGCACATAGTACAATACTGTGTCCTTTTCCTGCAGTCTGTGACTGTTCAGTACAGTTGAGGCAAATACATTACATGATATGTGCCCTCCTCCTCCTGCAGCCTGATAGGGTCCAGGTAAGCACACACCACTATGCTGTGCCCTCCTCCTATGGCATATCTTTTCAGTAGAGTCTAGGTGAGCACATACTATACACATGTGCCCTCCTCCTGTGGACATCACCTGTTCAGTTGAGTTGAAAAAAACATGCACTGATAAGCCATGCCCTTCATATGTAGCTGGTGTTTGACATTAGAGTTGAGGAAAGCACAAGGTACAGTCTGAATGTGCCCCAACCACACTACACATATTGGCTCTCTGAGTTCTTGTGTGCAAGTACTTGGATGGCCATGTTCTTATTCTGCCAATCCTTGTGGCATATGGGGTTGTTTGATTCTTCCTTCCTTTTTCCTGGGCAAAGAGTATATCCTGGAAGAGTTGAGTTTTGGTCTTCCACAGGTGTGCTCTTATGGAGCCTCTGCTACACTCCATGAGTTTCCTTTTAGCTTTTTCTGAAGAGAACTTGTATAGGTAAATTTTGTGAGATTTTAGTTTAACTCTGTGAAGAGGTCTGTATCCTCTCAGAAATTAGCATTTCCCTTATCCTAAATTATATTTCTGATAGACACCTCTTCACACACATTCCCATCCTTTCTATCCACTTTTGGTGCACCTTAGTATTCCTTGTCTCATCAAAGAATGAACATTCACAAGTGCAAAAGCAAAGGAGTTAGCGTGCAAGGAGGCATGTCATCCTCCTGTTGGTTGAGGGCTTTTGCTGCTAAATAATGTCATTATGCATTCTTGTAATTCACAAGAAATCTAGTGAGATTAGATGGGAGTTTCCTAAAGGCTAATGGCATGCAAATCTCTAAGGCAGACACATGAGGAAGATATCTTTACTGTGTGAGGAGGTGAGTATCTATCAGAAGTACAATTTCAAGTAGGAAATTGTTAATTTTAGAATTTCCAAGATGGGGATATCTCTTGCACTAATGACATTGGAAAATAAAGGAATATCAATCAATTTTGGGCACCAGGAACAGGACATACAGAAATAAACCTTCAACAAGCTGTATCCCAGCTATGGTAAGCAAAGTGCAATATTTTGTAATAGGTGAGAATTCACAGACATAAAAGTCAGTGACAAAAGCCATTCACATTTCCCAAGCAAAAGTATTTCCATTTGGAAAAGCAGCACAAGTCATATATATACTCAAGTTGCTTCCACAATTTTTGCATATCTCAATCAGTTGGAGAACAAAATGGATATTCATACTATTCCACACAAAGACATACCAGTCAAGTCACTGAATGCAGGGCCTATGGATTTCTGTATGATAGAACAGTTGAAACAGGTGTTGAGAAACTTGTCTTCTCACATTAGATGGATAATGGAAAACATGCAAGGAGCAATAGTGTACTTTAGACATAACAAACTTTAAGATGAAGCTTTTTCTAGTGGAACCTAGGCTATAGGGCTATTGTTAAGATGCATGGTTATTAGATAGAGCATGATTCGATGTGGTGACATACTGTAACAATGTAGTGAGGCTGCAAATTTGTTTTTATATAACCTACTCAAACTCCATAAAAAAGGAATTATTAAACCTAATGTTACAGTTTGCAAAACAGTAAAGAGAAGATATACATTTTGTGTAGGGAATGTTATGTCAATTTTTTTTTACCAGAATGATTTAAGAAATATTTTGCTGATTCTGTTCACAAACAGCTTTTCATTTAGAATATGCTCATCATGAACCTTGAAAACTGACGGCATTAATATTTTGTTATTTTGAAATAGCTCAACAACTTGCTCTTAAATACATGTGCAACAGGAGTGATTATGTTTTAATTATGATAATATTTTAAATTGAACAAACAGTGAAGTTTTTAAAAGATATTCTTCTGACAGTGCTGCTTTATCCTATTTGTTTAAGAGCAGTTATGTTAAATTTTTTTTAGTAACCCTTGCATCCAAAAAATAAATTACAATTAGCTGTTTTAGGTGTATTATTTTACTGAAGTTTTGTTAAGCTCAGCTGAAAAGTTTATGATTTTTATGTTTTAGTTACTTTGGTTTGAAAATATATAACAATAAATAGTATATATATATATATATATATATATAAATAATTGAAATTTGTAGCACTCATTGCATACTTGAGCTGTTTGCATCCAAGTAAAAATATTTGACATTTTCCCCTAAATTTCATTGAGTCTCAGAAACTTGGGCATCTAAAAATCTTTGTGGCATTCAAATATGCATCTTGGAACAAAAAAAATATATCAATCACTTAAATATAATTTTCCAAGACTACTATAATTTACTTGGCTTTCCATATAAGCTATAAATAGGTTGAAAAAATTCTGTTACTGTTTGGAGCACCAAATTTGATCAACGTAAACCAAGCAATTCTTATCAACTCGCAGCTTATTGTAAGATTTACCTAGAGGAGAATACGCTCATTCTGTTGTTTATAAACATATCTATCAGCTATGTAAAAATGATTAGTAAACAATTTCAAAAGTCATAGAGAGAGTGGAGAGGCTTCTCTAGTGGTTTTGACAAAGTTATTGATATCTCAGCAAATCAAGAAAATAAGAAGTTCAAATTTTGGGTTCATTCTTGTGAGAAGCCTACTTTAAAAGTTAGAATATTCTGAAGTGGAAAAATTGAGTTTGGATATGTTAAGTGACACAGAAATGAAGGTTTGTATTTTTTAATACACTTCTTTTAAGTTAAATCTTAGATGATATACAAATATTTATTATAAACTAAATTTCTTGCCAAGTTTATTGAAATATATTGATGATAAAGTTGTTTAATTAAATTTTGAATAAAACACTGTACACTTCAAATTTATTTTACAGAAAGAATTAATTGTTTAGTACTATAATCAACTAATTGAAGTTAGTGTTTCCAATTACTACTATTTTTGATGAATTTGATTATCTAAGTAATCAAAATATTGTAAATATGGTTCCTCATTATTATTATTTTAGATTAAGTCAAATTTTGTTCAGCTTAATCTGTTAATTTAATGACTCATAAAAGTAATCAGCTAACTTGAATTAATTGATGACCACTAAATTGTTGTACATGAAGATGCCCATCATATTAAAATCAGTGTATTTCAAGTATGTCTTTAAAAAAAACCAAAACATTATAAAAACAGGTAGATCAGTCTTGTGAGAATAATCAATTTTTTGAATATAATGGATTAATCATTTAACAAAATATTAATCACCCAGCTGTACCTACAAAGCACCAACCAATATCAAAATGTAGTTCTCATAGATGCCTTTCTGCCATAACTTTATTTAGGCTTTGGTTGTCACATGACTTGCTGATTTGCATATTCAAAACTTTTAATATAATACACTCAGCCATGTAGTTTATGTGATTTTTGTTTGTCAGTAGTCATTTTAGCCTGGTGAGCAAAAACTATTGTTATCTTTAGGATGCTGTTTCTATTTACGTAATGGTAACAAAAATCTGTTATATGAGCACTCAAGTTTTAGAAAGGGTATATAAATTGTATTATAATATGATTAATATATTCAGTTTAATGTACTAATTAAAGTGGAAAGTGTTCAGCAGTTTCAAAATTAGTAAGTTGTTTAAGTAAAGAGTCAGTAACTGTGGTCGCACATTCAAAATTGAGGCAAGGCCAAATATTTTGACATAAATAATAATACCTGTGCTTCTTAAAAATTGCATACAAGATGGAAAGACTGTATACTATATTTTTGTTGTGTATAAAATGTAGACTGCTACTAGCTGCTGTAAACTTTTAGGTTTTTTATTTATTGCAAATCCTATAAACGTTGCAATGGCAAATGAAAATTGTACCATTCTGTACTATTAGAAGTTAGCTTGTTTTTCTTGTCAATCCAAGTTTAATGTTTTTTTTTCTTTATTCAAACATATTTGTGTAAAGCCTTCATATCGAATGTTACTCTGTTTTGTATGTTTGATAAAGGCCTTTTTGATGATGCGTACCACATGAAGTTTCAATAGTTTAAGTACCTTGGCTTATATCTTATAGAACTTGAAATTATATTAATCACATGTTTTTATCTGAATGTATAACATCATGTTCTTTCTTATTTTTACATGGCAAAGGGAAAAAAGTTTTTGAGCCAAGTGACGGATGGCCATGTTGTCCATGCCCATCTACGTCCTCCACCAGGAGAAAAAATTGTTTGTTGCTGGGTTATTAATGGTTCTGTTAATGGGTTAAATATTGGTCAAGAATTGGTTAAAAAAGGTTATGCAGTCCAAGTTGAGAGAGATGGCACTATTATTAGTAGCAAAAATGTAGAAGATAGTTCTTTATCTGGCAGGTGAGTTTATGGATAAAAATTGTACATAACTTGGTTTTAGTTATTAATGTTTTTCATTTGGATTTCACAGAACAGACATATTAGTCAGTTTTAAAATGTAACAAAGGAAAGTTTTCCAAAAATGTTTTATAAAGTGATTTTAGCAACAAAAACTTAGACAAAAATTTAAACAATTATGATTTTTATGTAATATATTTACGTGTGTGTGTGTGTGTGTATGTATGTGTATATAAACAGTAATAAAAATAATTATGGAAACACGCAAGTGATACACATACAGGAGTCACAAACAACAAGTAATGGCACTCAGGTGAAGTTACTAATGATGGGAAACATTACTGCAGATAATACAAAAGAAAAACAAGTTGTACAATTCACTAGTATTTTATGTGTGAGCCCCTTTGCTTTCAAAGAGCATTACTCCTTATTTTCATGTTGCTGTAGAGTTTTTCTGGCCTCCCAGTGCACCCTAATTTTTTCACTACAACATGAAATACAAAGCTTGTCGCAAAAACAAAAACACATTTTCTCATATTGTGAGTATAGTCTAACTGCCCACATAATTAACTTAAAATACAAAGTGTTTCAGAATCTGATGGTTTGTATGAGTTTTAGTTTCTTGGTGACATCAGAGATAGATATTTATTTTGCGAGGTGAGCAAGTTGTCTTCTCTGCAAATTGACTTTAGAGTGAACATAACCTCTATCCCAATAAAGAATAACTGAAGGATAATAAAATGTTCTTTTAGCTTAATGAATTTTGAGTGTTCAAGTGGAAGTAAGTGCACCACCTTTTGTTAAATTGCACTTCTTCTCATGGTTACTGTTTACATAAGCTTTAGCTAGCTTAATGAATTTTGAGTGCTCAAGTGGAAGTAAGTGCACCACCTTTTGTTAAATTGCACTTCTTGTCATGGTTACTGTTTACATAAGCTTTAGCTGCATGTTGTTTGATTTCCATGTGTGAGTGTGTGCATGTCTGTTAGTCATAATATCCTGAAATAATTAGACTTCAATCATTTTAATAGACATATATGCTAATCTAAGATACATGAGATTGTTATTGTACTGTTTGTGTAATTTATGTGTCCATGGCACTAGTGCTTGAGACAGCCTCTTCAACAAGTTTTATATTTGCAGGGTAATGTGAAAAACTAAAATGCCACACAGAAAAACACCATTCCAGCATCAGTATTTAACCTACGTAGACAATAATAGCCATGATCTTTTGTGTTGGTATAAATCATTGCAAAAAGACAGTAGCTTGTGATAATAGTGGCAAACAGCAACTCTTGCATATGGAGAAAGACAAAGAACTGGCTAAGTTAAAGTTTAGTTATAGTCAGTGAAAACTGCCCTAAAGAATAATGGAAACAAATCCAGCAGCAGCACACTTTCTGCTAGTTCTTGCTCATCTAGTATAGTAACTAATGCTTCTATGTTATTTCCTGCTCTAAATTATCACTACTTTTTACCTACTAAAGGCTGTACTTTTTAGTCCCTACTTATCTTGATGGGCCTGGTTTTATCATTGTACGATGGTAGAATATTTTCCAAATGTTCTGTAATACTTCCCACAAATCAACCAAATTGTTTGTTTTGCTCTCTGGCTTTGTCAGTTTTTGATAAGCCCAAAAAGCCGCAAGAACAGACTTATCGTGAATTTCCACCCAATGAGTTATGTTCCTAAGTGAATGATGTATATCAGAATATGCCTGTACTTGTCTGCAGGCTACTATGAATTTTGTGTAGGTCACTGACACCATTGGCTGAGATGAATTCCCAAACTTGTACTAATCCTCTATCATGCTTTACTATAGATGTTGTGCATTGACGATGATACCGTTATCCTCTCTGTTGTCAAACAAACTCTCATTGATTGTTGCTGAACAATTATAACTTGGATTCATCAGTAAAAAGTACATGTCTGCAGCTTTGCTTATTTCATTTTCAGTGGTCTGTAACTTTTTGGTTGGTTACATTTTGACAGCATACTTGCATTGAAACTGCTTTGTGCTAATGTGTGTCTCACTGTTTGCAAGTAACGTTCACACGTATATTAACAGCAAGGTTGTTCTTAGGATATGTGCTCGACTGTTGTATGGCTCCTAAAGAACGTACACTGTGATACTTATCATCACTTTGGAGAGTTTTAGTTTTCTACCTTGAACACTTCTATGATTAACAGTGCCAGTTCCATTTACACTTTTTCAGAGTCAAGCATACAGTTTGTATTGAAACATGGAGTCTTGCCAAAAAAATTTTGTGTGGAGTAAGCTTGAAGCCAAAACTTTGAGTTCCACATGTTTGTCATGTAATATTTTTTTCCTGGAAACCTGATTGGAATCACACTACTGCTACTGGGAATTCTATGACTGTTAGTACTTTATATAGGAGCCTGGTGGTAAGGATGCTTGAAATGCAGTCATGGAATCAAAATCAGACACTAAACATGCTCAATCGTAGGGGTATTTTAACATGTTGTTCATGTGCATGAGTTTGAAGTGAATGGTGTTGAGTTGCTGTCTTTCCTCCAGCCCAGTGTTTCTTAAACAGTGGGTCATGAGCAGGTTTCAAGAGGGTAACATGCTGTATGCACCAAGTCAACTTGTTTTAGTCTGAGAGGTGCACATATCACCTCTGTTATGAACTATGACAAACGTTTTTCATCCTTATCAAGATAATGGGGTTCACCGACAACCAAAGTACAGACACAGGGGTCGTCTGTCAAATCCAGCTGAGAAACACTGCTCTAGCCTGTCACAAAATCAGGTATGGCTAGTGCAAGTAGCCCCTGAATAGGTTTGTTTGAAAATCAGCAAACAATATAACAGCTTTTATAGGCTTTACACTTTTGTGATACTTTCTGATTGGTAAGATCACAATGAGTCAGTGTCAAATATCAGCATGTGACTTTAATCTGGTGTTTCTTTTTTTGACATGATAAAAGGGTGGCATTTCCATAGTATTTGCATTTCTTACCTTTCCCTCACCATTCCATGGTTATTATAAATATTGTATACATAGATATACATACATGTGTGTGTTAATTTATGTAGAGAGAGTTTATCAACAAAATTAATAATTTTTACTGTGACACCAGTGACACCATTTTAAGAAATCTGGAAGGTATTGCTGTAGTAATTATTTAATTTGTCTATGAATTTCGAATTTCAAAGTATCTCAGTTATTTTGTACATAGAAAAAATATAACTAAAGATATTGTGTGTACTAATTGGATGGAAATGAAAAAGTTAATTTTAAGGATGTTGTAAAAAGAACATTTTTCAGGTGTTGCATTTAAGCAAAAAATATGTTACTGTAAGTTTTAAGGAGCATTCTTCATCAAAAATTGATTTATTCTGTATTACAGAGCTAGTGAATAATGTGAAACTTTACATGGTATATATATAATGTGTAATTTTTAATTGATAGGCCTGTGTTGGGCAAGAAAACGGATCAGAGATATTGTATAAGTGGACGAGGGGGAAAACGCTATGCATCTGGGCATCGACTGTCTTTGGAAACACCCCCCAGTACTGGAATTAATACATTAACTAGTACACAAACCCAAATTTCAAGCACTTTGAGTGATTTGTCCCATTCTTCCTCTCTTGATGATGATTTGTGCACAAACTATGGAACTGGTTATTCCTACCATAGGAGTGGGAATCAGTTCAGAGGTGGTGGTGATGGAGGTTATGTTCTTGATGAAATTAGTAGACTAAAAGTTGAGAAGGAAAAATTGCTCAGAGATCTTGCTCTTGAAAAAGGAAGGTTTCAGGTAGAGTAAAAGAATGAAATTTATTTCTACCACATTGTGTTTTTATTTGTTTGTATATGCTCATACATATATACATACGTATATATATATTGTTTATTCAAAACATACCTTATTATTCTTTAATGTACTTTAAATTTACACTTGAGAACACTTCATTAAAAAAGATTATTGGTTTAACCTTAAGGGCTATTAATTTATGGTAAAATTCTAACAGAATGAAGGCTTTTAAATTTTCCTTGCTTAGACATTCACATGAATTTTGAATTAGTGTAATCCTTCCTTCATCAGGGATTTCTCGATGGTAATGGGAAAAAATATAATACTTGTGCTTGATATTAAATGAATATGGTTTTCTGAAGCTATAATTATTTTAAACAGTGAATTAGCTAGGCTATTTTATTAATCCTTTCACTGCGGCTGGGATGTTATTTTCCAGTGCACTGCTGCTGATGTGGGCTTAATGCATATCAGGATTTTAAGGATGTAGGTTGGGATTCTTTTACAGTAGGTGTCTGTGACTTGTTGGCGATAAATTCGAACAATAAAGGGACAGCACATAATCCAATAATATATTCAAAACAAGTCAAATGTATGTACAAAATTCTTTACACCATAGGATATCATTGTTGTATCTAAATCTCAAAATAATTATCTTTTCTTGTCAAAAGTCAACTCAGGCTGATTCAGTTACTTTAGAATCCAATTGACAATCTAAACTATTTTTCTCTACTTTGTTTCTTACTGTACAATCCGTGATAGATTCACTTATGTTACTCTGTGGATTTCCACAGTTGGATCTCGAACTTTAAATAATTGTCTCCTTTTTGTCAAAGTCCACACAGATGGGATTAATTACTTTAGAACACCTTTTTGACAAGACAAATTATTCTCCTTATCTCCATTAAACTGTGAAACTCACTTTAAAATATCGCCCGTTATGGCTAATCACTCGCACGTCAGCTAACTTCACGTCTTCTAACTTTTTTCTGACTGAACTTTACTTTTATTTGGTCTCGCTTGGTCGGCTATATTTTTCCGTTGTTCACTGAGACCTCAAAATTTCTATAAATTACATGAGTGATGCCACATCGTAACAATACTCACTTAAGGTAAGGATAATAATACTGAAGGTTTGAGTAACTTAGCATCAACAATACTACAACAGTTGAACCACATACACAACGTACGACTCTTCCTGAGTTACGCAAACAAACTAGTCATAACTATCACCTTTAAAATAATTACTTTTAACTCTGTTGTAATGAAATGTAAATTAAATATTAAATCACCAAATAAACTAAATAATAACTCTTAAACTAAAGAGTCTTGTATCTCCAACAATGCATTATTTTTTCTAATTTCTGATTTCATCTGGTGGGTTTTTTTTCCCATTCATTAATTTTCTAAGTCAGCTTTTTCTTTTTCCTTTATGCAACATCCTCATCTTTCATGTTTTAAACCCAAGATTTCAGTTTTTCAAAGTTTGATGAGAATTGAGAATACTTTTTCTCTTATTTCCATAAATAATTTATCTTAATACCAGTATTCTGTGGTTAACCATTAATTAGATTTTTAAAGCACATCATAATTGAATATGTGATTAGGCTCTAAGAATATGTTTATCTGACTGACTATTTACTTAAAGTGGCTATATTCCATTTTATGGCAGTGATACAGATAATGTAAACTTGGGATAATTCATTCAGTTGATATAGTATGTTTTATTTTTTCAAATAGTCATTTTACTGACAATTCTTGTAGCACCCCCCCCCTTTTTTTAAGTATGTTACACAATGCCATTTTGTTGTCATGATGAAATAAAGATTATAGGAAGCTATTTTTAATTTTTGATCTTTTAAATCAATATTATTTGATCAAATCTGAGAAAATATTTAAAGATTATTAAGTTGTTTTTTTTTAAAGAAAAAGCTAAGGACCTGAAATTTGACCAAATTTTACTATGCTTAAAGCTGTTTCCTTGTAAAATCATTTTGTAATAAAAGATTGAGAAAATTTACAATGCTACATCAGAGAACCACTATCTTTGATCATAGTGTTGAATGTAGTCATTGCATAAAAATTGAATGAATTATGTATCATTCCAAAAGTTTAGTTTTATAATTTTATATAACACTTAGAGATAAAAATTGTCATTTTCCTGTTAATAAAAAGTTTTTAAAACTGAAATAAATTTTAATCAAGAAGTCTGCATCAAAATAAAAAAAATATATTAAGGAAAAGAACATTTTCATATAATTTTTTTCCTCTTTTGTTGTGACAACTGTGGAATTTCCAAGAGCACCATCTATGATGCAAAATCAGTTGTTGTTTGTTGCAGTAATGTTCATAGTTTTTGTGTGTATGTGATGTAGCTGTATGAATTTATGGCAGCATGTCATTATTTTAGATGATCACATAAGTCAGACAACTGCCATGATTAGACTTAACAAATAACTGACTTTATTACATTACTCATAACTATTTATGCTAAATCTGAGTGTCATTTTTCTCTCTCCATTCTCAAGGCAATTATTTCATAGGTTTGACCACCTTCTTATGCATGTCCACTGTTCTCCTTTATATCTTCTCTCTCTCATTTCCCCCATCTGTACCCACTGGGTTATTTTCTGGACAGCTTCTGAGAATTGAACTTTATTTCTGGGTTGACTTTATTCTGTTTAATCCAGTTTCCCCTTGTGGGAACCTAATCATTTCCTTTGTGTCTTGTTCATGGTTCAGAGTCCGTTAGCCTGTATAGACTGAACTGTACAATTAAAATGATCTTAGCAAATTTCAAATCATTAGTCAGTGTTATCAGATGCCTGATAATGATGACTTAACTCAGTGAAAAATTTCAGTATTTCTTTTCTTTTAACCATATTTTGGCTCTTCTTAATTATTTTGATATATTGTCCATAGTATCTCTTGTAATTTCAAAATAAGAAATAGTTTCATACATTTTATTTTTAATAAGAAAACCTAAGTTATTCAGACACAATTATTTTTACATCACATTGTTTTATTAAATGCAATCTAAAAAGGTCTTTGTGTTTCAAATTGCTATATAATTACTTGTATTTAAGGTATTTTTAACGTTTAATTAGAATATTCTTATTTTTTTCTAGCTAGCATTTAAAATCTGACTATTAATTAACAATTAATTAGGATTGAAAATCATGTATTTTATATTAGTTTTTAATAATAATGATTCTTTTGATGTTTGTGATATATATAAATACTATGCATTTTCAAACAACTTTTTTAAAGTTAATAAACTTTATTACTCTTAAAAACCCTCTCAGATAAAAACATTATAATCACAATTAATTATGGCCATAGGTTTACATCAGCTGTCCATTCAGTGAATAAATTTTTTCCTTGTTAATGTGATATATAGATATATCATTTGTTTTATACTTGTTTTAGTGATATAAGATGTTTTTAAATTTTTTCAGTTATTTAATTTCCATACTGTAATGGTGACAGTGTGGTCCAGAAAATCATTAAAATTAACTTCTTGTAGTTGCTTTGTTTCTCTGTTCTCTATAGTAGGTGATGTCTCTCTAACTGAGAGGATATTACAGTAATACCTAGCATCTATTCTGGCTGTTTATGACATTCACTAATGTAACAGGCAACTAATGTTGTGAGGGAACAAAGGGGTGACACTGTTGACTGGACAAAGAAGGTTAGCTTACCTATTGAATTCAGGCATGTTTTCTTGAGCCAATTTCTACTAAGAGATTGTCAAGTGAAGACTCATTTCAATAACATATTGCTTTAGTTCTACAGAGATTAATCCTGAGGGAAAGAAAACTGTGGAGCTAAACACAGCTTTAGTATTCGATGACGAGGAACCCTCTTTGAGACTAATAATGGCTGGAGACGGCTTGAATGGGTAATGAAGAAAAACTTTAATATAACAGCAAATGTACAACGTTTCGACAAGGTTTTGTCATCATCAGGTACCAATGACAGGTATAATAGACTGTCATTTTGTCTGTATAGGTACACACACACACTATATTTTCCATTTATTTATTGTAATAAAGATTTTGTTCTTTTTTCAAACTTTTACCCACACTTTTCATTATATAATTATGGGAGGCTTTTAAGGGTTGGCATACAAAACTCTCACAACCCTATAAAATTTGCTTTTCATCTCCAGGTCTTATCTGTAATAAGTTTTTATCTAAATCCTGAATTTGGAGAAGAATATTCTCAGTTTGGTGTATCTGAATGTATCAGGTAGTGATTTGCACCATCTTAAATCACTTCTCAATGGTTTGCATTTTAGAACTACATCTTGCAGACCAGTATGTGAAGCGAGTTTAGTTGGGGATTTTTGGTCATAGAGATTATAAGATTATAGCAAATGAACTGAACGAAGTTGTAGTCCTACTATATAGGATATTGGTAGTCCACATGAAAAAATAAGTATCTTGAACTGTGGACAGCTAATTGTGAAACAAACATTTCCAAAAATTTTCAAGACTTTCTCTTTACACCAGTTAAACTGAACAACAGTCTTGTGGAAGAAATCATATAACAGAATACAGAAGTTATGGGAGTAACAAGAGTTTTAATAGTGTTGTGTGAGGATTTCACTCTATACAAATTCACTAAGACTTGGTCATTTGACCAGAGGGAGAGTGGCTTGAGTATAAGAATATATGATAATTCAGTAGATGAATAAAAGCTTAGTTGATTACAGGTTATCATTACAAGATGTTATGAGAGACTAAGAAAATTTCAAAAGTAGGTTGTGAAAACAAAACTTTTTTCTTCCCTGGTAAATTGTAAATATGACTAGTATACATAAACAAGTTTTTTTCTAAACTATATTTTAGGTGAAGTTAGGTCTCCACTTGAGGAAGCCCATATTTCCTCCTTATATTATTTTTCCAAAAGGGGCCCATAGGCTGCCTGAAGGGGTCACCTGTTTTAACCACTTTCATCACTATACAATAGTCTGTTGTCTGTTAGTCGACACTAAAGTGACATCAGATAAAGGATGCTTAACATTGCAATTTCTACCATCGTGACGTCAATACAACGTGCGCATGCCAGGAATCACGAGAAGAATTATGCATACTGTATTCTACAGCTCATCATGGCTTATGAACTTCAAAAGCAAGAAATAAAAATATTTATTACTCTTAATTGTGTGTGGTTTTATTTACTCTTGAAACTGAGCACTTTTGGAGACCCTGCAGAAGTACATCTAGTACTATTCCAGTTTTTAGGAATTTGGTGGTTGAGCTCTTTTGTGTATGGTTCAGAAACATGTTTCAAACACTATAACACTATTCTTTTGGGTTGTCCATAAATTCAGTCCACTTGTTATCTCCATTGTATGTATGGATGACCCTTCACTTGGAGTGTATAGACTGGATGGTATATTGTTGTGGCACCATCAATTTTTGAGTCATATAATAAGTTATATAAAAATTTTTTATAGGAATAATGTTTAAAACTCCAAATAGAAATGGGGTAATATAAAGATGATTGAAAGATCTAAATCTTTGTAAGACCAAAAGATCTTTTTGAATTTCAATTTAGTTCGAAAATAAATTTGTATAAACATTGTTACCATGTAATTTAGATCAATACTGATATGATCAATAAGTTATTATATGTTTAATACCCTTTTTATTTTTGTGGGGGGGACATTTCATATGTTTAAATAAAAATTAAGACTTTTTTAATGTTTAGGTTCCCAAGCTTGTTTACAACTTACTTTTAAATTACAATTACTTGTGAAGCATTTCTATAATATGAAGGAAAAATTTATCTGTTCTTAGTGTTTTTATTGTATGTCAGTACTCTTACTTTAAATTCTAAAGGAACCATAGTTCTCTATTATTTTTGTTTTTATACAAGTTCAGCAATATTTTGAGTAAGTTTTGCACATGATTGTTTTTGGTTCAAGATATAATTCTGAAAGCAAATTTTCATTTGATATTTTTTTCATAAAGTTGAGAAGTATAGAATCGTTACTTCAGATTCACCTTGGGAATTTTTGTCTCCACTAAAATTATAGCAGTATAATTAAAGTTTTAAAAAAAAAATCTGAAACATTTTAGGAAATTTCACCTTGTAAACAGTCATTAATACCTAAAACAATCAATGTAGGATATGTTACCAAATAGTTTTAGCTTAAACATAATTATGGTGAAAAGGTTATACTTTACTTTTTTTTGTAAATATGTAATATTTAAACATTTTAATCCTATCTAACAACAAATGTGTTTACCACTAGAAAATCTTAATCATAATGGATTAAACCTGTTCAATTTCAAGCACCAAATATAGTCTCTTCGCTGTATTGGAAGCCAGTAAAGAGTCTGAGCTCTGATACAACAATAATCTCCAAATTTATGACATCCAGATCAGCTGTATTTTGTACCCCAAGTATCTATTCATTTTTGAAACTGCACTTTCTGGGATACTGTGATATCTTAGGCTTAGTAATTTTTCAATTATCTTATGTTTCTTTTCCAAAACATTAAGTAAAACCTTTTTAAAATGTAATATTTTAACATATTTGTTGATATTTCAAACTTTAAAAATTACTAAAGATAACAAATGTTAGTTTTTTTCAATGTTTTCTAATAAATAAGAACTGAGTTTTCTGAAATTTTTAACAATTATTAGAATTTTGATTTATAGTGAGCACTTTTTGAGCTCTCAAGACACAAAATCTTGGGCTTTTGACTAGGAAGAATGAAAAAAATAATTTTATATATTATTTTTCTAAAAGACTTGACAATCAAGCTCTCTTTATTGAAATGAAAATGAAAATATTTTCTAGCGCTGTGTAGACAGATATTTGGTGGTGATTCTTCTACTTGGTCAGTCTGTTTGAGGAAATAAAAACAAAATCCAATCATTGTTTGAAAGGTATTAGAATAGAAATGTTAAAAGTAAATATCTGACAAGGATCAAGTAATAACATAAAATATGGGCAAAGTGGCTAGAAATTAACTTGAAATAGAGGGTTTTACTTATTGCTGTTGTATTTTAAGTATAATAATAATACAGTTAAGCATTGTTAGATTTCATTTTTAAAAAGTATCATTTAAATTTAAATCAGATTTGACATTTAGGGACTGGGACGTTTTTGTTGTTTCATGCAGTATTTCTTGTATTTTTTTGTTTTATTTCTGTTACATGTAGTTTTTTGAAAGGATTTAAAAGAATTGAACTTGTATATACATTTTTCTTAACAGGCAGTGAAAAATGAACTAGACAAAATGGTTAAAGATGACATGTCTATGAAGGTTTGTAAGTTTAAATAGATTAGGAACAATGTTACTTTAAATAAATGCAATAAAATGTAAAGTTGATTTTAAACTGTGTAAATGATTTATTAATATATATTTGTTTTAAGGAATGAGTGAAGAACATTAGGATTTCAATTGGGGATTGATTGCAACTAATTTATCAAAAGAATTCTTTAAGGACTGTTTTCAATCTAATAAATAATTTGTTTCTAAATGTGTGTGTGTGTGTGTGTGTATGTTGGAAGAGATGAATGAAAGAGTGTGAGATTAATAAATTTATTTCAGTTTGATTGATTAATTTTTGAAAGGATCTGTTCATATGTTTTCAGTATGCTTTTACAGAATGTATTATTGGGTCACGTATGTTAATAGAGAAGATGATGTTGAAAGAGTAATGGTTTTTTTAAAGTAAAAAATTATCATTTTTTTTTGATAGATTTCAAAGATCCAGGAAAAGACAAAACAAGTGAAGTTTTTACGTCATCAGTTGACATATGACAAAGACAAACCAGACATTATTGAGCTTTGCATTACCACAGTCTTAAAATTACAGGAAGGTCCAGTGCTAGATCATAATCAGAGTATACAAGAAGCAGTATCAAAAGCTCATAAAAATTTCAACTCGTGTCAGCAAAACATAAAGTTCTGCAAAAATAAGGTTTGTTTATCACATTGATAATTTGTGATGGTCTTTAGACAAAAATATCTGATATTCTTGCTTATAAGAAGCCTTTTAGGTATTTCTATATGTAAAAAAATGTTGTAAATTTCAGGAAGCAGCAATATTTTGGAAATTGCATTTATGATTTGTTGCTACTATACTATAAAATAATATTGTTCCAGGAAATCTGAACTTATAACTTGTTTACAGAAGGAGATATTAATTGTTAATAAAGCTTGAAAAGAAAATCATTATAATTTTGAGATGAAAATGGAGATTAATGAACATTGTTTATGATTTTATAAAGTAGAATAATAATTGTATATGATAGGAATATCCAAAAATTTACCAAGAAGCTACAAAATATAACATTTTAGTATTCTTTTTTCAAAACTTTTATTTGGTTGTTAAGTTGTATTCATAAAGTTAAATGCGGAATCTTCTTTCAACTGTGACTGGTGTAAAGTTGATTCATAACTGACAATTAATTTAAGTAAAAATGTCAGTAATCTGATATAAACTCTTCATAAACATTTAAATAGTTTTCAACAAAAAGCTTGTTTTTTTACTTGCTTTGAAAATTAATAAAATAATAACAGCAATATAGTTAGTTGTTGCAGTTGTGATTTTTTATTCTTTTTATAGGATGAACTTCAGTCACTTATTGAACTTCGAGACTCAGCCAAACAGCAGCTCTATGTCAAGATAGAGCAGTTCCTAAATCTTTTTTCTGAACGTCCTGTCATTGAGAAAGCTAGGCTTTTGGAGGTAATAAACTATATTTTTATTGTGAGTAATTTTTCTTGTAGTAAAACTTCTTCTGGAATAGATGAATGAGAGAGAAGAATTTTGAAAATACTAATTCTTCAAGTCCATTCTAAGCTAAAAACATTTAAGTTATTCAGGTAATATAAAAAATTACATGCCCTAAAAATTATAATATTTTAATGCTGTATACCCTAAGGAAAGCCTTGATTTTTTTAACATATTTAAATATGATATTAAATAATGCCAGACATTGCAGACCTTATTGTTTGTTTCCAAGAATTTGTGTCAAAAACTAACACTAAAATATTTATTTTGACATAAGAAACACACTTTTGTAAAGAGCACAAAAAAATGTGCAAAAGATTATTATCAGATGATTAACTTTTTCTTTGAAAAGTAAGATCATTTGTAATACTAGCTTGTTGCGATGTGAAAGTTTTAAGTGTTTGGCTGTAACTTTCCTTTTCTGTCAGACAAGCTGAAGTACCTGTCCTTTGTCGAAGTTATGAAATTAAAAAAATATATAGAGCTGGATGCTATGATTAATAATGCAAAAATTCTAACTTTCACACAATTTATTTATAACGTAACATATTATTACAGTATTCATTATTACCTCACCAAAAGCTTTGTATAAGCTTTAAGAACTCACTATTTAAGTACTTAAAACATGGGGTACACTGTGTGATGGTCAAGGTGAC